GGAAGCCACAGGACTGGCCAAGCTTCTCAACGGAACTGGAAAAGCTAGCTACCTTGCAGATTTGCTTTCCCGAGTTTCGGATTGTTTATGTNCTAAGGAAGCCACAGGACTGGCCAAGCTTCTCAACGGAACTGGAAAAGCTAGCTACCTTGCAGATTTGCTTTCCCGAGTTTCGGATTGTTTATGTGCCTAGGACTCAGAATGGTGTTTCCGATTCACTAGCTAGGACTGCTCGATCCTTTTATCGAGATTTGGTGTTTGTAGGTTGTTCTATTCCGGTCTGGATTCCCAAACCACCTCAAGTTTGAGTAATAGATCAGCCGTTCGTTGTCAAAAAAAAAAAAAAAAAACTAATAATATATAAGATCTATAAAATACATAATATCTTTTGATATCTTTTTATTTTAAATATATTTATTTAAAAATTATAAAAAAATTCGTTTCAAAATTTGTTTAGAAATAAAGACTAAAATAGCATCACTTCAAGTTTTTGTCTCCAAACTAGCATCTAATGCTAAAAGTCACATAAATAAGTTTCTTTAAAAGTATGATATACCCTTATGTTCATTCTTTGATTAATTAAAAAATAATAGATTAATATATGATTTATCCTTATGCTACTTTTTTACTAATTTATTCTAAAACTCTAAACCATGAAATTTTGATTTTCTAAACCTTAAATCTTAAAACTTCCACTCTAAACCCTGAAATATCAATTTTAGAACCCTAAACCTTGCAACTTCAAATTTAAACCATAAACCTTAAAACATCAATTCTAAACCGTAATCACTGAAACTTCAACTCTAAACCTTAATCCTCAAACTTCAACTCTAATCCTTAAACTATGAAATATCAACTCTAAAACCCTAAACCATGAAACTTCAACTTTAAACCCTAAACACTGAAACATCAACTCTAAAACCCTAAAACCTAAAATTTCAACTCTAAAACTTTAAACCCTGAAACTTCATATCTAAACCCTAAATTCTGAAACATAAACTCTAAAACCATAAATCCTGATGTTTTACTTATAAACCCCTGAAACACCAACTCTAAAAAACTTTAACCCTAAAACTTCAACTCTAATCTCTAAACCCTGAAATATCAACTCTAAAACCCTAAAACCTGAAACTTCAACTCTAAACCATAAAACATCAACTCTAAAATCTTAAACCCTGAAACTTCAAATCTAAACCCTGAATCTTGAAACATCAACTCTAAAAAATTCTAACCCTAAAACTTCAACTCTAATCCCTAAACCCTGAAATATCAACTCTAAAACCCAAAACTTTGAAACTTTAACTCTAAACCCTGAAACATCAACTCTAAAACCCTAGAACCTGAAACTTCAACTCTAAAACCTGAAACATCAACTCTAAAACATTCAACCCTGAAACCTCAAATCTAAACCCTAAATCCTGAAACATCAACTCTAAAACTCTAAACCCTGATGTTTTACCTCTAAACCCCTGAAACATCAACTATAAAACCCTAAACCCTGAAACTTCAACTCTAAACTCTGAAACATCAGCTCTAAAACCTTAAAACCTAAAACTTCAACTCTAAACCCTACACCCTGAAAATCCAACTCTAAAACCCTAAACTCTGAAACTTCAACTCTAAACCCTGAAACATCAACTCTAAAACAATAAACCCCAAAAATTCAACTCTAAACCCTACACCCTGAAAATCCAACTCTAAAACTCTAAACTCTGAAACTTCAACTCTAAACCGTGAAACTTCAACTCTAAACCGTAAACCCTGAAAATCCAACTCTAAAACCCTAAGCTTGAAACTTCATCTCCAAACCCTGAAACATCAGTTCTAGAACCCTAAATCTTGAAACTTCAACTTTAAACCCTAAACCTTAAAAGATTAATTCTAAACCCTTAAACTTCAACTCTAAACTCTAACCCTGAAATTTCAACTCTAAACCCTAAACACTGAAACATCAACTCTAAAACCCTACACCTTGAAACTTCATCTCTGAATTCTGAACCCTGAAACATTAAATCTCAAACCCTAAATCTTCAAACTTCAATTTTAAACCCTAAACCTTGAAACTTCAACTCTAAACCCTGAAACATAAATTCTAGAACCCAAAACCTTGAAACTTCAACTCTGAATTCTAAACCCTGAAACTTCAACTATAAACCATTCTGAAACATTAAATTTAAACCCTACATCTAAACCATAAACCCTCAACTTTAACCCTTAATCCCCAAACTCTATATTTTTCCAAAATTCAAATCCAAAACCCCAAAACCCTTAATACATTAAAATCTGGATGATATATTAATGTTCATGATAGGCTTCACGATAATGTATTATAAGATTTAGAAAGTCTTGAGCGTGTTAAGGATGAGCTTCCGGATAATATATTAATCTTCAGGATAATGAATTACAAAATTTGGAAAGCCTTGAGCGTGTTCCGGATGGGCTTCCAGATAATATATTAATCTTCAGGATAATGTATTATAAAATTTAAAAAGCCTTGAGCGTGTTTATGATGGCCTTCCAGATAATATATTATTCTTCAGAATAATGTATCATAAAATTTGGAAAGCCTTGAGCGTGTTCATGATGGACTTCCTGATAATATATTAATCTTCAGGATAATGTATTATAAAATTTGGAAGGCCTTGAGCGTGTTCAGGATGGGCTTCCGGATAATATAAAAATCTTCAAGATAATGTATTATAAATCTTGGAAAGCATTGAGCGTGTTCATGATGGGCTTCCTGATAATATATTAATCTTTAGGATAGAATTTATGGTTTTAGGATTAGAGTTTAGGGTTTAGAGTTGATGTATTAGGGTTTAAGGGTTTAGAGTTTAGTATATTAATCTTCAGGATAATGTATCGATGACTTTATAGGAGTATCAATCGATATAGCATAAGATCGAATCAAATCTGTGTTCACCAAGATCATAGACCGGCTCTCGCACGTCCCTAGAGGATCTAAGCTTATGCCAAATGATTTCAGGACAATGATAAACAAGTTAAATCACATCCATGATCATACTCTAGGTAGTTACTCTAGAGTAAGCATTAGGGTTCACTTGGATAATGAATATCAACAATTCACCATTCCATAGTTGGGGCTAATCCCTCATAACTATTTGAACCCTAAATCTAACAAAGAGATCTACTCAGACATAACTGAGAGATTCGTGACAACTAGGTAATAATAGAAACTCATATAGAGGATTGAAATTTTGGTTCTTGGAACAACAAATCTCTTTGTGTGTTTCTTCTAGATCTAGAATTCTATAACCTTTAGAAATTGAGATGAAAAGAAATACTTTATAGAATAGAACAAAGTAACAAGAAAAGTATGCTAAGCTTTTCAAGTACAAAAGGTATCAAAACAATAAAAGCATGTAAAGAACAAGAAAGCATGTCTAGCCAAACACAATGTCAAAAAGTTAAAAACTCATCAGGGGCATTTTTGTAATATTGGGAAGACTTGGGCTTCAAGTCGGCCAAGTTGAACTTGCTCTCCACGCATTTTATCGATCGATGGTACATGGCGTACATCGATCGATGGAGTATCTTGACTTCATCTTCGATAAAAGCGTCATCGATCGATTACACAAAGTGTGTATCGATCGATATGTGTCCTCATTGTCTGATTTTCATAGTCATCTCGGAAAACTCTCCTTTAAGCTCCAAAAGGGCACCTAAATCATCATTTTACTCCAAAGTGCTCCTGAACCTGAAAGTATACCTAATAGACTCCAAAACATATATAAAACTCATAAAAACATATCAAAACCATGGCTAAAAGCGAAACAAAATCATGGTCTATCACAAACCCTCATTGATTGCATTTAATTAAACAATTTCTTGCTTTCTATTTGTTCAATAGCTCTCAGGATTGGATTGACACTCTAATTACCTTACTACATTGATTTGCTATAAGGCTTAAAAACCCTTATCAACCTTGCTGTCCCTAAACTTCAGAGACCACTTATCTGTGCAGAAGAAGCTGTTGAGATTCACAAAAGATTGAAAATGATACATGGTCCAGTGAAGTTTGTGGTTCCATGCTTTGTTTTTGAATTTGAAGCTCCTATTCCGCTAGATAGAAGTGTGCAACCTGGTTCCTAGGTTTTCGAACAGCCTATAATATATGGAACTCACTGGAATATCCTGATTTGATTTGCTTTTCCATGTATTATAATCCACAGGAAGATGACGGTGCACTTTTATGGTTGGTGTCGTGGAATTTTGATTCTTGAAAACTTCTCTTCCTTCGTCTATTCTTTTCCGTCGAGCCATTGCTTCATTAAGATGTCGTAGACCTTTTTTTTGCGTGCAGAACAAAGTGAAAAGAAGGATATTGGTAAGGAAGAGTAATGTGACCTTGTTACTGCATCTGTTATGCTTTAATTTAGGGATATTAATGAAGTAGATAAAATATATTGTTAGCTTAAATTTAGGGAAATAGTTGATGTTATTAAAAAGAAAAAGGTTATAGAGATACAGTTTCCATATTTCACAATATATAATGTATTGTTTCATACCTTATTTGAATATAATCATATTTATAACTGATATAGAATTTTTAAGTAATGCTAAGGTATGAGGACAGCCATCGAAGATATGTGATGAGAGGGTTGTTTAAAGGATGAGTACATCTTTCAAGCTTATCAGACTCGACCACTGTTATGATAGACATGTATGTTTAAAATGTTTTTCTTATTATATAGTTAGTGAGTTGATATTGAGATAGTTATGGCTTAAATAGTTACAATGCTTTATTGACTAGTTAGGTGTGTTGGTGTATACTGGAATGTTATCCTTTCAAATTTGGTGACTGTGATAGTTAATAGCAGATGAATGGGTAATGACTAATTTTTATTAAATATAGATCCTATGATAAAAATAGGAACCAATAGAAAGTACTGCAGAAACTTCAAAAGTAGGAAAACATTCGAAATAAAAAAAAAATTATAAATTGCGCAAGGAATGGATCCATTTCTAATCAATTCTGATCAATCAGATTTTGCCTTTTCCTTTTTGATCTGTTTGGTGCACATTTTCTTGGAGGATGATGTTAGGTCGGGTAAATCAGCATCCTCTTCCTTGCGTTTTGAAAAGGGGGTTTTAGGCTCTTCTTCAGCATTTGTATCCAACAACAACCCCTAAAATGATGAAAAATAACTATTAGTTTATTTTTGAAATAAAGGCCACTTATAACTACTGAATGGAGGAAAACAAAATAACAGTTTCAGACAAACTTACAGGAGCAGATGACATGGTATCTGAATTAGTTCCCATATTAGAAATAGCCTCAGAAAATGTTTCAATACTTAACACTTTATCTCCAGAACAAACCTCTAATACCAAAAAAGTATTTGATCCATTTGTGACATTATCAGAAGTTATGGACAGCCCAAAACAAAAAGACTTTCCCACCAAAGCTTTGATAGGTGCGGGAAGTATATCTGGATCTTCTATCTAGTAAAAAACCAATGTTTTAGTTTTAGAACAATGAATGATCATAAATAATTAGAAATATTAAAATACTAACCTACCCATAAGAACCATCCCATAAGTCCTCAGCCTTATGTCCAACGATAGACTTTGCAACAGATCCTAGTAACATTAGATGACATGTGTCTGTGTCATCTTTAACTACCAGATGTAGTTTGAAGCTATCCAACAACACACATAAAAAGTTTGTAAAAAAGTTCGATGTGAAAATATATAACAAATTAAATTCCAGGTCATTATAAATAGAATATTATCAACTTACTTGGGTAACACGTTAGTGATATTGCCATTACAAAGGTCACAACGGAACATTGGTTTGTCTCCTCTTCTCATATTTTCATAATCGATCTTTGGTATTTTATGAACACGTTTGTGATGACGGTTACAGCCAAAGTAAAACCAAGACCAACCAGTGTCTATTGCTTCAACACTGCATATGAGTTTACAAACCCCCACCTGCTTGAAATATAAAATCTTAGAAAATTAGTAAAAAATAAGCAATTATTTTATCAAACTGTTTTATGAAACCTGATTTGTGGACAGAACTTCGGAAATCTGTTTGATCTCAGTATCACCCCAATCATATTTGATGCGCTTAACATCCTTTTTTCCATTATCAGCTGGGGCAAGTTGTAGTTGCTCATCTGACAGTCTAAAAAAAGTTGTCTTTTGTAAGATCAATCCAATAAACACGTAAGTAAATATAGGAAAGTTGCAAACCTTTCTGTTAGATCTAAAACGTCTGGAATGGTTGGATTGAGGTAGAGGACTGATGAACCAAATGCATTAGTGATTTGAACCTCTCCTATAACAGGAAACAAATAATCTAAATTCCGTTTGTATAAATGGAATTTATCAAGATTAATAAGCAAGTAAATTACCTCTAAAGAAATTCACTTTCGCAAACCTAATCAAAGCAACAGTAGGTCGATCTTGGAATTCATCAACAAAAGATTCCATTTGCTCAGCATAATTACCCCAAAGACAACACAGAAGACTGTTTCCTCTGTCAAGTTTACATAGTTATTAAGAGAAATAGTAAAACTCTTTATAAGATTAGATAATATAGTATAAAAGAGAGGTTATAAGATCAAACCGTTGGTCGATTAATCGAAATTGAACCCTCTTTTTGTCTTCTCCTTGTGCTTTAACGGTTATCACATCACCAAGATCATGTATTTTCCCCATCACATCTGTTAGAAAACAAATATCTCATAGTTTAAAATTTGATAATGATCACTGAAATAATAAATCTTATGAAGAATAAGACACTCTTTTACATGACGGTACCTATCAGGAAGGGTAGATCGTCAGGGTCATTGCCAATTTTGGGAAAGTCGGTTAGATTCACGAAAAAACGATCATCATCTAAATTCGAACTTCTAACAACAGTCTCATCTAAGATATTCATCTTGTATGGATGGTGTGTTGTTTTATACTGTCCACCAGCTGGTGTCATATGACAGTTTTCAATAACTCCCCATTTGCCTATAGGGATAGCACGTTGAACACGGAGCATGTGTTGTTTTTTGCAAGATGCTTGAATTTTGTTTCCCTAGCAAATAAACAGAGTTATATTATAATATTGATAAAGTAGAAAACAGTTAGATATAATGATAAAAAACATTAGTAAGATAGTTTACCCATTCATCTGCTAAAACCATCTCAAAAGTATCTCCTCCAAAAGGTGTGTTCGATCTCCAAGAATGAAGACATTTGACCTGGACTCGCCAGTTATCCTTAAACGGCCTGAGTTTGGTGACAGGAACAAAAGTAGTCACTTTTGACATTTTTGGAGGTTTGCTTTGAAAGATAATATTTGTACGTATAGGAGAAGATGTATATATAGTGTGATGGGTAAAAGTAGGGTTAAGTTAACAAAATTTTGTGCAGATCTTGTTAGTTTTGGTATACAGCATTGAAAATGAATATACGTAACTGATATATGACTACAATGATTCTCTAATAGTTAAGATTTCTAAATTTTAGGAATGTAGGTTTTTAATAGTTAGATATTTACTTGATTTGCAAGATTTTAGAATTTATGAAACAATACTTTCTCAATGCCGTAACTAACATGTTTGATATGATTGTTATTGTATTGATTGCAGGAATATATGGAGATATTTTATGGAATATAATTTAGATATGATCAGATATGATTTTCAAATCGATTTTCATAATGGGCCTAAACCATGTTTGGGTATATACGAAATTGATGTATCAGCCCACATATTTTAAGGCAATGGCATTCCAATGTAAATATTGAGGAAAACTCAGGGTTCTTTCATTTTTGTACTTCAGTTTTAATAGTTTAGATTTCAGTATGAGGTTTCATTTAGAGGGAAAAAAATGTATATCTTTACTTTATAAATATAAATAGTTATTTAATTAAATGATAAATTTCTTTTTTCTTTTATAGTTTTCGAATTATACTTTTTGAGATTAAAATTTTAATAACTTTTTACTATTCATTTTTATTTTTTAATTTTTATTTGAAATTCGAAAATTATTTTTTAAAACAGTGTTAAACATTTTAAGTTTAATTTTAAATATTTATTTATATAATTATTAAAATTTTGAACCCACCCTCTAACACCCCACCCCACCCCTCATATGTAAACTGTAAATCTAGATTAATTAATCATATGATTATAAGTGTTTGTTTATCTCTTTAAAATCACGGACAAATGTGATTAAGGCAAACATGAAAATAAGTATTGGGAAAGTGGTAGTTTAAACAATTTATCAGTTTACATTTATTATCGTGACATTGTCTAGCTAGTTACTTTTCTCTCAATGTTAAGTTTCTTATTTCCATTTACATTTACATTTACATTTACATTTACACTAGGATAAGACATGCGCCTTGTGCATGGTGAGTATATGTAATTAAAATATAAAATTTTAATATTAATAAGTTTAAAATTTACATATGATTGTTTTTATATGTATTTGGAATTTTGGGGTTTTTACATAATTATCTATACGTAGGATCAGAAACAACTGTAATTAGAACTGTAGATCAAAACTTAGAATTTAATGGGTCCGGTTCATATATCTTTTCACTTTTCAGTGTTCGAGTGATGAAAAATAAAAGGAGTGTCACATGGTTTAATTGATAGAGCATTATCAAGTTTCGTAGTACTCTCTTAAGAAGCTGTTAGTAGAATATTTCTATTTAGAATATATAAAATTTCAAAACTAATTTAATATAATTTATTTATTTATCTAATAATATCATAAAACTATATTTTTAAAAACTTTTTTTTAAATAAAAGATAATTATCTAAAAAATAAGTTAAATTATAATTAAGTTTAAAATAATATGATTTATTCATACGATATGAGATATATATATTAACATAAACACCTATTAAAATAAAATTATTTATTCATCTGATTTTATAATCATTGTAACTTATTATAAAAAAAATTAGACTTGATCACAAAAGTTTATGTGAGATTTTTGACAGTTTTAGTAATTTATACTCGTTTTGAAAATTTCAAAATACAACATATATAAAAAAATCTATATTTTTATTATATGAATAGTGTAGTTGTGTAATTTATTTTAATATTAAAAAATAAAACAAAAATGATATAAAGTATACATATTGTTGACAAATCTTTATTATTTAATATCATTAATAGTCATATATATCTTAAACACATTAAGTAATTCCGTATGTTTTATTTAAGGAAATAATATATTAAAGATTTAGTTTGATATGTTATTTAGTTTGATATGTCTTATATGAAACCAACAGACCATGTTTTAAAACTATACTTTATATGAGGTGCTCTAGAATTCTTGTAAACTAAAATAGAAGTCATAGAAAAGTGTCACGTAGGATAGAGTTATTTTTAATTAATATAAACTTAAAGTTACAACTTTTTAAATGTTTCTCAATTAATATATAGGGGATTTACATTTACATTTACCATCACGAGTCTCATGTATGAATTCAAGATCTTTGTTGTTCCAGGTATGAACATAAGATCCCACAATATAGTGGAATTTGTTATGACTATGGTTTGCAAATTGCAGCTTAACAATTTTTATTTTCCTAATAATTGTATACTTTAACTAAAGTTCCTGTTGGCTTTTCTTAGTTTCTTTTGTAGTATACGGTTTCCTAGTTATTGCTTGAAGTTATTACTTTATCGAATGTTATAACTTAGATTACACAAGTATAATCAAAGTTTCTCTGTTACTTGGACCAAAAAGCAGACTAATTGAAACTTATTATTTAACAAAGGAAAGTGAAATGATATTGGACAAGAAAAAAGAAAACAAAATAAACCTGAAAATTTTCTCTTTTATTCTTGATACTTTTTACAGAAGACACTTATATATATTTCTTATGTAACCTTAAGAAACTTTGTGACTTTTCCAACAAGTCACGATTTTATAATTAATTATGTAAATTATACCAAAATCAATTATAAACTAACAGTTAATAGTGTTTATTTGTGTGGCAGTAGTGTTGTACTAACAAGATTTGGCATCAGAGTAGTGACAAAGAAGAATAGAATGGGTTTACACCATCATGAAATCTCCATTAATAATTCACATAGGGTGCCATATTGTTGCCAGAAAGAGATGGTACGGACTCAGAAAATTAAGATGAGCTGTATGAGATTAGGTATGAATGTCTTTCATACGCAAGGTAGTTGGTTTGAGACTTTGAGGGTTCTACTTAAGCATGTGTTGCAGGAGCCAAAAGAAAAAAAAAAAAAAAACTGTAGAAGTAACAGAA